GGTGGTAGTGGTGATCGTGGTGATCGTGGTGATGAGGCGGTGATGAGGTGATAGGTGACGTGGGGTGGTGACATTGGTGGAGGTGGTAGGGTGGCGACGGTGGAGGCGATAGTGGTGATGATGGTGGGGGATAGTTTGGTGGTGGGGTGGGATGGGGTGGGGGTGGTGGTGGTAGTGGTAATGATGGTGGGGGCGATGGGGGTGATGGTGGTGGTGAAGTGATTTCAAACACTACTCTTTTTAAAAAATATATTTATGAGAAATTAAAAGTATTGAATTTTTTTTTAAAAAGTCATCCTAAACACATCTTTAGTGATCTATTTTCCTAATTAAATTTGGAGCGTTAATATTGGCTGTCAGATTAATTTTAAAATAAAATTGAAAGAGATTTCAACCACGAATAGTAAAAGTCATTTTGTTTATCTTTTGAGATTTAAATTCAAAAGCTCTAACTATTGGCTCCTAATTATAATAAAAAAACTAATATTTAAACCCAAACAAATTAGAATGACTTTGGGTTATAGTCCCACGTGGACAAAAACTCCTATACTAAATGAAATTTAATAATAAAAAATAACTATCTACACTACTATGAACAGCAGTGAAATTTTTTTAGGTCACTTCAATAACCTTAACAAAATACTTAATACCATATATATCCTACTATAATATCCTTAAAAAATTCCTAATACTGCCCGTATCATATTGAAATTGCAACTGTCTATAGAAATTGTAACGTCAATAAACGGACAAATTAACAGTCTCATATATCTTTAATACACACGATATTATCCTACATGTCTGATGTCTCCCCCTCTCTCGTTGACCTTTCTCGCTCCAATATTACATTAATAGTGTGTTTGGTATGGTGAAAAAATGGGTGGAAGAAAAGTGAGGGAGAGAAAATGGAAGAAAAGAAAAAAGTTTTCATTGTTTGGTACCAAAGGAAAGTACGAAGGAGTGAAAAGTGGGAGGGAAGCTCTATCCTTCCAGCCCACCAGATATTTTCAGCCCAAATTTGGGCAAAAAATGGAGGAAAAAAATGAAGACAATATAATAATTTTTTAAGTTAATCTTTTTACCCTTTACTTATTGGAGTGAAAAAACATATTTAATGATAGAATTGTAAATTGGGCATATATGTTTACCTTTCATTTTATTTTTCATCTAATATCAAACAATAGAAAATAAATCACTCTTATTTTCTATCTCTCCTATCAAACAAAAAAGAAGAAAAATAACTTTATTTCTTTTAGTGATAAAAATTTTATTCTTTCTATTTTTTCTTCCTCCTTTCTTTTCATCTTTTATACCAAACGGACCATAATTAAATGAGGAGATGATATTGTTTGAAAATTTTGCAGTGAAGGTGGATGGCTGAGTGAATTGGCAGTTGACTTGACGCAGGATAATGGGACCCCTGTCGGTGCAATGCAATCTGATGCATGTTGATTCTTGCTTTCAAGGCCGGCCAAATGTATATAGGCCTAGGCGAAAGTTTTAAATGAGGGTCTTTTTAGAATTTATTATAAATTTATGTTGTATGATTAAAAAATTGTTTTAAATTAGGGGCTTGGGACTGTCAACCTCAATTTTTTATATATACGAGTTTAAAAAATTGTTCTAGTTCAATTTTTTTAGAAAATGAGTCAAACTCTAACTTGATTAGTTTGACTATTTTATATATAAACAAACTGAATTTTATATGTTCGAACCTAGTCTTTTAGACTTATTTTTGTAAATAAATTTAAAAAATTATTTAAACTCAGCTCGTGTAAAAAACAATTCGAGCTCAAACCGAGTCCTATACGAATCAAGCCTAAGTAACTTATCTAGATTAACACCCGTAGTTGTCAACTATCCAAATTTGATGCAAATCTCATAAAAAATCTACCCAATTTATGCTCTAATAGCTTCTCAAAATCAGAGTCAAGAACCTTCAACCGCTTCACATGGTCTCCCTCCCGCCTGCTTGGGTCTCTTTCCCTTCAGTGGTTGCTGCCTCCTTCTTTCCAGGAATGTTTTCCTTCCCTTCAGCTCTTTGCTCCCCCCAACGTCCCCCCTCTCTCTATCAGTCTCTGCTCCCCAACGTCCCCCCCCTCCTTCTCCCTTCAGACATGTTCTATTCTAACTGACTGTGTTCTGTTTCTTTTTTTTTTTTTTTTTCTGTTTTGATGATTACCATACTCGTTCAAACCACACATACATGTAATTGTAAGCAAATAATACTGGGGGGTCAGTCTCGTACTTGTGATTATTTGCACTTGATTAACGTGTTTATAGTTATAAATGTTAATAGTATGACTCTCATCATGTCACTGTTTTTGCTTAAGTACTACAATTATTATTATCAACACCTTGATTGATGAGAAATATGACGCAATTTGGTGAGAAATTTTTTGGGGCACCTCATGAACCAGTTATACTGTGATCAAAAGATGCCTTATTGCCGAGAATTTCAACTTTAGATATGAGCCTGAGAGAATTGATGATGGACCAGTAGGAGAAGATTATTTGGAATAAACTCTAATGTCCAAATTGTTAAGAAGTAGATGATGAATGAGAGGTGTAATTGTAGAACTCCTCAACTTTTGATTTGCTCTACTTAAAAACCAACACATTTGAGTTACTTAAGCAATTAAATTGGATCGATAACCAGTGAAATTATTAAAAAATATTACTGTAGTCAAAAGCTTTTTCTAAACACATTAAAAGAGAGAATACTATGAATCTTATATTTAAATTTATGAGTTACTGATAGTCAAGAGTCATTATAGATAATACTAAAAAGTATAATTTAGATAATATACAAGGATGATATATGTTCCTTTTGTTTATATCTCTGCCGGTTCACTATTGTTTGCTCCTTTTAGTTTACAAATCCTAAATAGTTAAGGTCTTCTATTAATTAAAAACTATTTCAACTGACAAGCATGTTTTCCTGTTTTGAAAGAACTTATTTGATTTTTTTCCAATATCTACAATAAATTTTTAATTTTGTTTTCTAGCTGACCGGTTTGTTAATATTGATAATCATGGAATATTTAATCGTAATTCTCTTTTGGCCCATATTCAATTTGTCAACACCGTGGGTGTTTTGGCCCATATTATTAATAGACATGTTCTTTTTTTTTTTTTTTTTTTCTATTTTGATGATAATCATGCTCACTCAAATCACACAGACATGTCGATGTAAGCAAATAATACTGGAGTGTTATTGCATTGTTTTTCCTATTTAAAAACAATACTCTATTCATGAGTGTTAGAAGACGTGAAGACTCAATTGAACCTACTATGAACAAGAAGTACATAGATGTAACAATAATTTTTAGGTAAACATTATTTCTCTTTTTTTTATTATATGAATGTGGATAAAAAAAATGTATATTTTTAGAGAATGAATAAACACGTAATTGTAATCCTTTTTTTTTCAGCTCGCATCTTTTGGAAGTTGGTTGAATTTTTTATAGTTATATTTAGTCATTTGACAACATCTACAGACTTAGTTTGTTTGTGAAAGTATTGTTTTAATTTTTATTCTATTAGTTATGAATTTTTTTATTATTTAGATAAAGTTGATTATAAATGTTAAAATCGTAGATTTTGAATCAAAAATAGAACATTGAATATTGTCAACTGATATATTTTTTTAAATGTTTAAATTATTATGTTTAAGTAGTCATAACATAATTTTCGTGGCGTAACAATTTAATGTAAAAATATATTCTATGCATGTAAGTTGATGTTATAAAAAATATTAGTGGACTCATTTTGTTCGTCGTTTACTACAATGTTATATTTTACTTTACATTTATGTATGTGCAAATATTTGTAACTTATTTACGAGTAACACTGTGTCTTCAGACACGGACGATTGCCAGGGAATCACAATTGGAAGATGTTCACAAGGTATTTTATGCTCAAAATTTAAAATGAATTGAATTCACTAATATATGCGCCATTTTGGAAGATTCTATTTTTTGGTAATTAGAAGGGAGTTTAATACTGTGAAATCAATTTAGGTAATTGAGTCGACAATACAAGAAACTCAATAATAGATTTGACAAAATAAGATTGAGGCCATAATTATAGGATTCAAAAATGTAGCATGTCCTAAAATCTTGGTAATGCTTATTATGCATATATAGCTGCCTTCATAAGGTCACAATTCACAACTCTCCGCACACCTATTTAACCCTAGTTATGAGTATTTGAATAATATGTCCGGTCATGCTTAATAAACAACAAATGTTTCACTATGATAAAATAGCATACTATTTCGTACTTGATTATTTTCTTTTTAGACAGGTTGGACAACTAAACTTTAATTAACTAAATGGGGTTCAAAAGGGCCTAGAAATTATATCAATTTAGAGTAATATTATCCAGACCTAAAAAATTGATCTAATTTATTAACTTGATAATTAAGGTCATAATAATACTATTTAACCATATCATTGCCACATTATTAGATTAACAAATTAGATATGTTTTTTAGATCTCGATACATTATACATAAATTTATTGTCACAACAAAAAATAAATAAAATAAAATAAAAAAAGGGTCTAATTTCCATTGTAACTAGGACAGAAGTTGAAGCCATACAATATTAACCAAGAAAATTATAGGACTTGCATGATCAAAAGATTCAAGACCACTAACTTTTGAACACTACTTTCTGTAACTATGTCATCATCACATTTTCACAAGGAACTTCATCATACAATGTCTGGTCTGTAACATTACACCCAACACACGTAGGATGAAAAGAATGAACTTCAATAAGTGCAAACAAAAAAAGATCCTTGATAAGAAGCTCAGTTTATAATGAGAGGTTTTTTTGAAGTTTTTGATCCCAACTAATGGTGGTAATGAAAAGCAAAATTACTAATCATGTTCTATTTAATAACCAGGGAACATTGGTGGTGGTGGTGATAAATATTGGAAGCCCAAGTTCGGAGGGAGAATCAAATCATCGTAGGTTGATGGTGGTGGAGTAATGGTAGTAACAGAAGGACGAAATACAACAGTCGTTGATGGTGGTGGTGATTGTACAGGTGGTGGTGGGGAAAGAACTGGTATTAGTGGTGGTGAGGATTGCACCAATGGGGGAGGTGAGTGGATTTTTGGTGGAGGTGAGTGAACTAGTGGTAGTGGAGAGCGGAGTGGTGGTGGAGGTGGTAGAGAATGCACTGGAGGTGGTAGAGAGTGCATTAGTGGTGGAGGTGATGGGATGGACTCGGTAGACAGTGGTGTTGGTTTCACTAGCTTAGGAGTTGGTGTTGGTGATTGAATTGGGGGTGGTGGTGAGAAGATTGATGGTGGAGGATAATGAACCAGCGATAAAGGTGGTGGGGAGTGAACTGGTGGTGAAGGTGATATGGTGGACTTGGTAGGCGATGGAGTTGGTTTCACTAGCTCAGGAGCTGGTGCTGGTGTGGAAACTTGAGGTGTTATTGGTTCAGCTACTTTTGGTGAGGGAGCTGGAGACAGTATAGAAGGATTTGGAGGAAATGAAATCGAAGTTAGAGCTGGAGTTGGAGCTGGAGCTAGAACCGGAGAAGGTTTCGAGCTAGGACTTGGTGGCTTGGAAATGAATGGTGGGATGGAGGTCCTTGCTGGTTGTGTAAAGGGTGAAGTTTCTGACGGAGAGCGTTGTGGAGGCTCTACAGGTGAAGTTTTTGATGGAGAGCTTGGTTGTGGAGGCTCTATAGGCGAAGTTTTGAATGGAGAGCTTGGTTGTGGAGGCTCTATAGGTGAAGGGCTTGATGGGGTGGCGATTGGTGTTGGGGTTGGCTTTGGTTTGGGACTTTGTGGTGGTAGGGGTGGAGAAGTCTTAGGTGAGTTAGGTTCCAAGATTGGTAATGGGTTTGGTGATGGGGTGGACTTGGTAGGTGATGGAGTTGGTTTCACTAGGTTCGGAGCTGGTGCTGGTGTGGAAACTTGAGGTGTTATTGGTTCAGCTACTTTTGGTGAGGGAGCTAGAGACGAGATAGAAGGATTTGGAGGAAGCGAAATCGAAGTTAGAGCTGGAGCTGGGGCTAGAACTGGAGAAGGTTTTGAGCTAGGACTTGGTGGCTTGGAAATGAATGGTGGGATGGAGGTCCTTGGTGGTTGTGTAGAAGGTGAAGTTTCTGATGCAGAGCTTGATTGTGGAGGGTCTACAGGTGAAGGTTTTGATGGAGCGCTTGGGTGCGGAGGCTCTATAGCTGAAGGGCTTAATGGGGTGGCGATTGGTGTTGGGGGTGACTTTGGTTTGGGACTTGGTGGTGTTAGGAGCGGAGAAATCTTAGGTGGGTTCAGTTCCAAGATTGGTAATGGTTTTGGTGATGGGGTGAAATTGGGAGGCGACAGAATTGGTTTCACTATCTTAGGAGCTGGTGCTGGTGTGGAAACTTGAGGTGTTATTGGTTCAGCTACTTTTGGTGAGGGTGTTAGAGACGGGATAGAAGGACTTGGAGGAAACGAAATCGATGTTAGAGTTGGAGCTGGGGCTTGAACCGGGGAAGGTTTCAAGCTCGGACTTGGTGGCATGGAAATTAATGGTGGGATGGAGGTCCTTGGTGGTTGTGCAAAAGGTGAAATTTTGGGTGGAGAGCTTGGTTGTGGAGGCTCTATAGGTGAAGGGCTTGTTGGGGTGGCGATTGGTGTTGGGGGTGGCTTTGGCTTGAGACTTGGTTGTGGTAGGGGGGGAGAAGTCTCAGGTGGGTTAGGTTTCAAGATTGGTAATGGTTGTGGTGATGGGGTGGGATTGAAAATCGAAGGTGATAGAGGTGGTATAGCCTTTGGTGAAAGGTTAGGTTGTGGTGTTGGTGAAATGGAAAGAGGATTCACTGGCGCCAATGGAAATAGTTTTGGCATTGGAGGAAAGGAAATTGGCTCAACTTTAGGCATAGATGGCGGTTTTGCATTCGGATTTGGCTTTAATGGGGTTATTGTAGGACTTGGTGGAGCTTGTGGTTGTGGATTTGAACTTGGTGGAATAAGAGATTCTGGTGGATGCTTACCGCCTTGGCGTGGTTTTGAAGGTCTGCAGCCTACTAAACTGCAATTAACTGTCCGACTCAACTCAGATTCGCAAGTCTCCTCAGATTTTTGTTTTGGTCTATCTGTCAAGCAATTGCTTGTGTCATCCAGTACACGGCCTTCTTTTGAAGAAAGGCATGTAAAATCCACACTCTTAAAATAGTTGTAAGAAAATGTGAGATTCACCAAGTTTGGCAAGCTACAAATGCTCTGAGGAACTTGTCCCGTCAGTTCATTGTGTGCAATGTCAAATCTCTCAACATTTTGCATACGGTGTAAACCTATTGGCAAAGACCCGATGAACTTGTTGCTGCTCATGTCAACCACTGTTGTTCTTGATAGCAATCCAATCTCTTCAGGCAAGCAACCGGAGAATTCATTGTTCGAGAAAATTGATTCCTCCAATGTGTTTGTCATCCTGCCAATGCTCTTTGGAATGCAACCAGTCAACTTGTTATTGGCCACCACCACAACTGAAACTGGCGAATTGCCAAGGTTTTCAGGGATGTTGGAATGAAATCGATTGTCATTCAAGAACAAAGCATCAAGCTCCTTGTCGAAAAGTTGTGGTGGCAATGGCCCTTCGAAATCATTAAACCTCAAGTCAAGGTACTTGAGGACTGGTAATCCTATAACAACCTCTGGGAATGAACCAACAAATCGATTGTTGCTAACATCAAACTCGTGCAAAAGTTTTAGCCTAGAGAAGCTCTTTGGGATGATCCCACAAAACCTGTTAGAGTTAATGTGGAAAAGACTTATGTCAGTCAAGAGCCCCAACTCAACAGGAAGGTAGCCAGAAATGTCACCATGGTTAAGATCGACGCCTGCAACAACACTCACTTTAGGGTCATCAAGTGCCCGAGCACAAAAGACACCCAGGTAAGCACACACATTGGCTCCAACCCAATTGCCAGTCATATTAAGAGGGTCAGAGTACATTGCTTTTTTCCATGCCTGGAGGCCAATGTAAGCTCTCTTGATCCTCGGATTTGCAAACGTCACACTAACATTGACCTCCAATTCAAAGTCAACAGGAAGATCACCATTCTCCGGAAGAGCTAAGAGCTGACGATGAGCAATATAAGATGCCTCAGCATCGGTTAAAGCTGAAGAGAAAGAGGAAAAAGAAGAGAATTGTAGGAGGGAGATGAAAAGAAAGCAGCCTAAGGCCTTCATTTTTGAAGGGTTAGCCATGCCAAACCACCTTGGACAAGGCCCAAGGCTGCTTATAGTAATCATGCATAAGAGGAATGAAGGGTGTTATAAGGATGTTGATGGAAGGATGGTTGAGAGGCCATTCATGGAGGCATCCAATTTCAGCACCGAAATATAGGGATGCACTTCAAAGAACCATAAAATGTGGAGGTGCCTAAAATTTTTTAGACACAAATTTAGGGAACAGAATGAATAGCTAAAAATTGACAATGACCAAGTCTTTTTCCTTCTACAAACTATTTCCCTTATAAATTTACCATGTACCTGACAATTTTGGGTCATTTACACCTTGTTCTTCTCGTGATCAGTTTTGATTCGGGTTTGATTTTATTGTTCAAAAAATTATCTAAGCATTGTTTTTCATTGAAATGTGGGACAAGACATTTTTTCTTTTATTTTCCCTTTTTCTTTCTTTCCCCCTATAGAGACTTAGATAATTATTACGTTTTTCGATATTTTTTTTGGGTTAATATTGCTCAAGCTGGTTTGCTGTTTAGAGGCCAATTGAAATTGAAACCTTTTAACACACACACCCAATTTCTTAGTTTGGAACTTGAAATGGTTTTTTGGGATTTTCAGTGTTTAGATATCGCGACTTTGAATCATGATGTGGCCACGATTTTATTATAGTATTGTGTGGAAGTTATTGAATTAACCACAATAAATCTTAGTGTTCAAATGGACACTCTATTTAGGCTTATAATTGTTATTCTATATTTATCTTGCACATATTACTATTATGGTTTACCTATTCATCTTGTTGGGATGAATTTGAATATAATTGCTTGGCAATCTATGGACAGTTTGAATATTTAATTTATTTAGTCTGAATATCCTACATATTAGTTGATCCCAAGCGATAATTGGGGGGGGGGGGGGGTAATATAGCGATTATCAAACACACAATTCAATTTGAGGGAAAGAATGGCGCATTCCCATCTCTCATATTTTTTGCCCTTGCTATTACTTGCTATATTTTTGAAGTATATCCAATTTGTCCACCCTCCATTTTTGCTATTACTTAGAAATTGAAACAAAATAAATAAAATATGGATTAACACATTATTTTTAATCTTTGGGGGTCATCCAATGATCAATGTCTCACATAATCGGTTTCATGGACAGAGACTCAACAATGAGGAACGTGCAGAGATTACGGTCATTGTGAAATGTGCACACACTTTAATCCTTTGAATTGGAGGAGGCATGCCCGTCCATTAAAATAGTCACCTTGAACCACAAAAATTTAGGGCCACAATTTAATTTTTAATCCTTAGTTCAGTTTCATGTTCTAAAGCTATTTTGAATGGACCAAGTTAAAGGTCTAATGTATTTCACAAGTTATATAATAACTTATAGAATACTCTAAAATGTAACAATATTTTCACAAGTTTATGTAAAATCTTATAAATAGTCTTAAAATATTATAAAACTAAAGCCGTCTAAAAAAATCTAAAATTAACGAGTTCTAACTTTAAAAATATCAATCTCTCTTTTTTTCTTTCACCGTCTTTTCCTTCACTCTCACTGCCTCTCTCCAAGTCTTTCTCTCACACCAACTCACATTGTCTTGCTTTGGCTCTCTCTCCAAGTTTTTCCCTCACTCCCACTCTCATTGTTTTGCCCTAGCTCTTTGTCCTTAATTTTAAGACTCTAATCAACTTCACAATTACATTGGAATTAAATCATACGACAACTCTCTGTATAATGCCTAATAATTCTTATTTTTTATTATCTTTCTAATATATGGATCGGGGTCTCATGTGAAATACTCGTTTTAGGCTCCAATTTGTGTTGGGTCTAAATGATAAGACAACTCTCTGTAAAATGTCTAATAATACTAATTTTTTATTACCTTTCTAAAATATAGATCGGGGTTTCATCTGAAATTTTCGTTTTAAGCTCCAATTTATGTTGGGTGGTCCTGGTGTGTGCTCATAGCTCTAGCATACTCGCTTTAGGCTCCAATTTGTGTTGGACCTAAATAATAAGACAACTCTTTGTAAAATGTCTAATAATCCTAATTTTTTATTTTCTTTCTAAAATATATATCAAGGTCTCATGTAAAAATTCTTGTTTTAGGCTCCAATTTATATTGGGTCAGCCTGGTGTGTAGCAAACTCAATAAGATCTATTTTACTTTGACCATACACTTTTCCCTCACACAGTAGGCCAATTCGAAAATGGCAGATTAGTGGCGAAACTCGACCAAAATTGTTGATTATCGAGGTTGAGCTTCTAATATGCCTCCCATAAACTAATATCATACAGTATCATAACTTTGTTGTCTCTACAATACAAACTACCAGCAAAATCAAAAACAGGCCTGTGACAAATAAAAACTTGCAAATGCAACAATAACAGATCTGTGAGGTATTTTAATTCCCTCGGCATGTCAAATATTACTTTAGAGCTCATAGATGAAATTTCTCAATGCTCGATAGTTAGTATTCTTGCTAGTTCTATATCCTATTAGTTTTAATCTTGAGCTCAATGTCCACAAGCTTTCGTATAATTCCAGTTCTTGCACCCTAGAAGGAAGCAACGGGCAGTAAGTGGACCTAGATGGTCTTAATACACAAAAAGCCTCAGGCATGCTAGAGTTCACCTATTGTGTGAATATCAGTGTCATTAGAACCAGACTGGACTGGCCAGTCAGATCGGTTGGACCGTGAACTGAAGCCTAGAACGGTCTGGTTCTTGAGTTGGACCGCATAGACATAGGAATCGTCTTTCAACCGTTAAACCAGTCGATTTTTTATGAAAACTAGTGAACCGGACAGGTTCTGAAAATCGGACGGTTGGGGTCTCACTCTCTTGACTCTCTACTTCAGCCTTCAAAGTTCAAGCCTTCAAGCCTTCCTTCTCTCAGCAGGCAATGATGACGAGATCCAGGCGAGGCAAGATCAGAAATCTTGTAACAAGTTCCTTCCTTTTCCAGACAACGACGACATCTTCCATCTCTCTTTGTTAGGTCCTTTCTCTCTCTCTCTGATGTAAATGCACTGTTTGTGACTGTTAGTCATGAAATATGAGTAATACAGCTTCTCCTTTCTATCCCACTAGCTAGCATTGATTGTCTTTTACTATTCTCTCTCTTTTTCTCTATCACACACACACACTCTTATTTTTAATGAAATCAGAGGCATTTCTTCCTTCATTATTTTCATATTTTTCTTTTTGTCCGTTGCTTTACTTTATTTGTGAAATGTATAGTTATGAATTGATTTGTGTTGGGATAATAGTAATTTTTTTGTTTATGTTCTTTATTCTTTGGATTTTATGAACATATTATTTTTTTAGTTAAATTATTATGTTTTATAATTTTTTTATTTTTTTATTGTACAACCAGTCCAACCAATTGACTCAACAGTTGAACCAGTGAACCATTGACCTAGTCTCTCTGTCAGTTTGATGTCCAATCCAATTCTAATAACACTGGTGCATACCACACTAAAGGAACTTTTTTCCTAATACCTTTAGTTTATATTCTCAATTAACAAAAAACAAATGAGGATATTTGTAAGAAGTTAAGGAGAAATTGCAATCGCGAATCGGGGACACAAATCAAAACCTTGGGAAAGTATAAAATATTAGTGTCAAAAACCTCCCGGCCATAATACTTATGAAGCTCGACCATGTTGTAGAATAAAGTATGGTAAACAATTTCAGAAATAAAAAAATAATAAACAAAAATGAAGAAGATAGATCATTATGCAAGGCACAGTACTTGCTATATCGAAATAGTAATTTTTTTTTTCCACTTATAATATAGATGGAATCTTAAAAATTCTACACCAATATATAATACCTAACTTTAAGATTATTAAAGACTACACACCTTAATAATTTTGGAACCAAAAACTGAATGGTAAAATCAAAAAGTATGAAACTTTACAATTAAAGAGAAGAAGAAGAGAGTAATTTTCATGATACTTTGTTATTTCACTTGAACTCTATTGGAGTTATAGCAACCTAGGTTATTAAGATTTATTAAAGTTTTTTCTCTTTTTACCTTTTTATCCTTATTGTAACTTTTATTGGTTATATATATGGGGACTCTACACTTAGTGTGTATCCCTTTTTACTCACATTTATTTCAAGTTGGTATTAGAGTTAACCCTAACCCTAATCCTAGCCCCTGCCAAACATTGCAACTAGCAGCAGCCTCCACTCCATCGAAGTCAACCTTCGTTCCACTGACTGCCTACCAGCAGTAATCTTCACAGCCAATCAGTAACTCCATCAGCCCCCAGCAGAATCCCCAAACACCCAGCCCACCATCGACAGCCAGTAACAAAACACCCAGCGAACCAGCCAAAAAGGACAAAACATACTGCCCACCGACGGCCTTGTCCACCGATTGCCAGCAACACAAACACCTAGCCATTACATACTGCCACATCGACTACCCACAAACCATCACCGACTGCCAATCAACACAAACATTCATTGCCCAACACAAACGAACCCAGAACATACTTCTTCACCGACGGCCACAAACCACTGAACACCCAAACATAACACCAAATCGATAGCCAAACTCCAACATAGCCAATGCAGACAGCCCAAACTAGTGTTTTAAAACCCGGCTCAGTCCAACGGGTTGACCCAGGGAACCGGTGCCTAAATCAGGCCGATTCACCTATTGGATGGTTCATGCATAAGAACCGGAGTCAACCCAGTGAACCGGTAAAAATCCGAGGAAAATTGTCAAATCGGACGGGTCCTATCAAACCGACGGGTCATTTAATTTACTATAAAAGGTTGATTTTTGGTCCAAAAGCATTTTGCCCTAAATTGTGTTGCCCAGACTGCCCCTTTTGGTGGACGTCGTTCATTCCCCTCTCTCTCTCTCTCTCTCAAAAGCTCAATCTTTGGCAGCTATAAGGCGTCGTCTATGAAAACTTACAGGAGTTATCATAGATCTCCTTAGCCTTCGGATCTTTGGCTTAGAACAA